AGTAGTTTGTTTCATCCCTTAGCTGTAAACGCACACAAAGCCATAAATGCAGAAAACAAATGAATAAACAAACAACAATTGAATGTGTGTGTGTGTTAATCGTCAAAAAATTCAAACTGGCACTTACGTCTTACGTATATGTTCACTTTATGTTTACGCATAAGTGATAAACAAGTAAACAATTGAATAAACAAACAACAGCTGAGCGGGTATGTATGTTTGGTAATCAATGGGAATCAGCAGTACAGCCTCCTACTCGAAGTTAGAGCTCCTTGTTTTCCGATGTGACTTCTTCCGGCGATCCACGAGCCCGTTTTTATGCTTTTTTGCATTTATGCAACGCAAAAATGCATATTGTCGAGGAGTTGTCTGTGTGTTGCGTCTGTATCGAATTTTTATCTCGTCTCCTCTAAAAGCTATAGAGCTGAAACTTTGGGAATTAAATCTACACGCATGTACGGGCCTCTGTCCCAAAATGGGCGCTCTTGTCCACGTATCTCCTACATACGGAACTGTGAAAATCATTGGCACGTAAGTTGCTAACCTGGGAACCAGAGAAGCTGCAAACCTGTAATTTTAAGAGGATGCTTTCTGAAAGTCTTGATGGCCAGTCTCAATTCTTTTAGCTAGAAGCATTTGCCGGAAAAAACAGTGTCGTTAGCGATAAAAACTTGCTGGGAGCTTTGCAAAAAGCGCATCTTCGTATCAGCAGTGGTGTGCCCCCATTTATGATTCTTTGTAAAAAAGTTATCGACAGCCTTGCAGAGTATGTTTAATTGATCCAAAGAGATAGTCTGGAATATTTGCTGTATGCATCAGAGCCTTAAAAAACCAGTTTGATAGGTTTAGCATGCAAACACAATTTTTGAGGTTTTCCTTGCGTTTCTGCATCATCTCTGGCTTTTAGGGAGTTTCGGTGGAAGCAGTGGACCCGGTGTTTCAAGCCAAGATGCTTGATATGTTGAGGCAAACTGGACGGCCTGAAATGGTTGTTGGCTGGTACCACTCACATCCCGGATTTGGATGCTGGCTCTCCGGCGTCGATATTAATACGCAGCAGAGCTTTGAAGCTCTTTCTGATCGCGCAGTTGCTGTTGTCGTTGATCCGATTCAGTCCGTCAAGGGCAAGGTTCGCTTCGTTTACGTGTTTTCAGTGTCAGTGCGGTAAATTTGGTGATTTTGTGCGATGCTGTGCGACTTCTGAGTTGGCCAGCGCCCAACTTTTTTTGCTCGGAAAACCGATCTCATCGTAATTTTGTGAAATGCCTTGGTTTTCGGTGGATTTTTCTTCTTGCTGCTGTTCTAGTACATTTACCCGAACGATTCGGATTTTCGCATCGGTGTGAAAACTGTCAGGACGTTAAGAAATATTTGAAAAAATAAATATTTTTTTTAATGCTTGGAGAGGAGGTAGAGTTAAAGTAAGGATAGGGAGGAAGGATGGGTTAGGGGAAGAAGGACTAAAGCAGACGTGGTTTTTCCAAAACTTTCGGAAAGTTGGGGCTCAAGTTTTTTTTAATATTTATGTGTTTTAGTGGTTTGTGAAATTGTGAGGCATTTTTATATTTTCTGTAAAATTGTGACGCAAATTCAAATTTCTTCAGGTTGTTATCGATGCTTTCCGGACAATTAATCCGCAATCAATAGCTTTGAATCAGGAGCCACGACAAACCACCTCAAATCTCGGACATCTACAAAAGCCCTCCATCCAGGCGCTGATCCATGGCCTCAACCGGCACTATTATTCAATACCAATCAACTACAGAACACATGAACTGGAACAAAAGGTAGTCTTTTTTTTTTAAGGAATTAATTCGCCGTATTGATTGATAACGAATATTCTGAGTTGACTTACGCGCTGTTGTTTATATTTAGATGCTGTTGAATCTGAATAAGCAGACTTGGATGGATTCGCTTGGCTTGGAACGATTCAGCCAACATTGCGAGAAGAATCAAGCATCCATGCAAAACATATTAAAATTAGCGAAACTTTACAAAAAGGCTTGTTTTTTCTTTTTTTGCAGCTTTGTTGCCATTTTTATTTGATTTTCATTTTTAGTTTTCAATCACTTTCACAGCAAGAAAATCGTTTCTTTTTCTCTCTTTCTCTCCCTATTTCTTCATCAGGTTTTTCCCCTCTCGCCATCTCTGCGTGGATTCCTCTTTGATCTTGAACTAACGCACTGTGTATCGGAGGGATATAATTCCAGCCGTTTTTTTTTTTTTGGAATTGACGTTTTCAAAACTAAAAAGTTGGAGAATAGTCAAGGAGGGAGAGGGCTAAAATGAGAATTTTATTCACAAATGTTTTGGAAATTTTTTGAATAATGTAAACTATGAAAGTTTGTTTGGCACTGTAGGCCAGCCGATGAAAGGGACGCAGTCGAATATTGTCAGTTTTGAGAAAGCATTCATAACTTTTATAGTAATAGTGCAAAATCTTGACCCGTTATTGATTCAGAGGATTTTTTTTTCGGTAGACAGGAAATAAGAGCCAAAACTCGTAGCGATTCTAGTTTTTTCGAAGGAGGAAAGTTGAAGAGGCAGGAAGGTATTTGTTTAACATTTCTATCTCTGTACTATTTGGGTAAATTCTTTGAATTTAACTTCTTTCACCAGCGTTTTCTTTTTTTTAGGATTTAGAGGAACAAGAAAAAATGACAGAGGAACAGCTAGCAATAAAAAATGTCGGAAAGCAAGACCCAAAACGGCATCTTGGCGAAACAGTGAACGAAATGCTCGCCGATAATATTGTGCAAAGTCTTGCATCCATGCTCGACACGTCATCATTTCAATGATCTGTTTTCCGTCTTTTTTTTTTTGTGAACAAAGAATTCTATTGGTTCTTTTTAAATCTACGGAGCAAAACTCGGTTCCTCTGATCAACAGTGATGAGCTCGGAAATAGAGGGGAGCTCTGCTACATGCATTTTTTTTTCTATTCACTAGACTTTTGGTTTGAATGCGTGGTATTGAACAAGCTGAAATCAAAGGTGAAATTCCAAATCTCCTACATATCGTTCTGTCTGGGAGTGATGGAGCTGTCGAAAATGGACCAAGTGATGGCAATTCGCCGCCATCTGCAGCAATCTTCGATAAAACTGCGGCAAAGCCTGCTCTTTTGGAGGCTTCTTTGATGGTTCCGCCTATTTCGTATTGTACCATCAGCAGCAACTAGCATCTGAACTTTTCTTAGAACTGATGAATTTGAACCATTATAGCTAAAATGCTTTAAAAAACCATTTTTCAGTTCACATTGACCGTCTGAAGCATTCCCCTGAAAAACCGTGGTTAAAAATCTGGTTGTAAAAAAAAGGAAAGAAAAGTTTAGCTTTAAAAACAGTT